GTGGTCATGTAACTAAAGAGAAAGTTTAATTTTCCTTCTCTACTCACTAGAACTGACCTCCAACAGTTTTAAAAAATGGTACTCTTGTTCAGTATGTCCTCCTATAAATTTTGTCATTAAGATTATTTACCTTAATTTAAGAGAGTTCACAAGATTCTCTACAGAACAGCTTTAGAGTGATGTGTGTTTCTTTTTTTTTCTAACTTAATAGTCTTTTATTCCCTGTTAGCAAGTGGAAAAGTAGGTTCATAAAATATTGATTCAGATTTCATCTCTGCATTGATACATGGGTGAATCATCCAAATTGTGGCCAGTTCTTCCCAAGTACTGTAGAATATACCTATAGATTCATGTTGAGATTTGATAGAAAGCAACAAAATTCTGTAAAGCAATTATCCTTCAATAAAAAAAATAAATTAAAAAAAAGAATATACCTATATAGCTATATTTTGATGATTTCTTGTCGAGCATTGTTAACTAACTGGGTTTCCCTGGTGGCTCAGTGGTAAAGAATCTGCCTACAATGCAGGAGACCCAGGTTCGATCCCTGGGTTGGGAAGATCCCCTGGGGCAGGGCATGGCAACCTACTCCAGTATTCTTGCCTGGAGAATCCCGTGGACAGAGGAATGTGGCGGGCTGCAGTCCACGGGGTCACAGAGAGTCAGACACGAGTGAGGGACTGAGCACCCAGCACATTAACTCACTACAGTCGTCACTTTTTTTTGGTTCCAGGATACTCCACAGATACCAAATATATCAATAAAATAGAGTAGTGTTTGCAAATAAACAGTGCACATCCCCCCCCAAATACTTTAAAAATCATCTCTAGATTACTTATAATACCTAATATAATGTAAATGCTACGTGTGTGGACGTGAAAGTGTTAGTCGCTTAGCTGTGTCTGACCCTTTGTGACCCATGGACGGTAGCCCACCAGGCTCCTCTGTCCTTGGGATTCTCCAGGCAAGAACACTGGAGTGGGTTGCCAGGCCCTCCCTGACGGGATCTTCCTGACCCAGGGATTGAACCAGGGTCTCATGCATTGCAGGTGGATTCTTTATCTTCTGAGCCACCAGGGAAGCCCAAAATGATACACAAATAATTGTAAATACAAGGGAAATGTTATATAAATAGGTGCTGGCACATGGCAAATGCAGGTTTCTTTTTTAGAACTTTCTGGAATATTTTCCCCAGTTTTTTTCCATCTGTAATTGGTTGAGTCAGCAGATTTGGAACACCTGGACAAGGAGAGGTGACTGGGATGTCAGAAGTTACTGAATTTAATTAAATCAGTCAGTCGCTGAAAAACCACTTAACAAGCGTGGGAGTAAATTAATCCATGCAGGCTGCACTCTCTGTCCTCTGGAAATTTGATCTAAGTGGTAAAGAGTCCACCATCTGTAGTGCAGGAGGCCCCAGCTGGATTCCTGGGTTGGGAAGATCCCCTGGAGAAGGGATAGGCTGCCCACTCCAGTATTCTTGGGCTTCCCTGGTGGCTTAGCTGGTAAAGAATCCACCTGCAATGCGGGAGACCTGGGTTCGATCTCTCGGTTGGGAAGATCCCCTGGAGAAGGGCAAGGCTACCCACTCCAGTATTCTTGCCTGGAGAATCCCCATGGACAGAGGAGCTTGATGGGCTACAGTCCATTCGGTTGCGAAGAGTCGGACATAACTGAGCAAGTAAGCAAACACACAGAACGTTTATATATCTCAGCCACACTTTGTCACTAGCTTCACATAAAAAGAAATGCAAGAAGGCAAAGTGGTTGTCTGAGGAGATCTTAAAAATAACAGAAACAGAAGAGATTAAGAAGAGATGGGAAGAATACACAGAAAAACTATACAAAAAAGGTCTTAATGACCCAGATAACCATGATGGTATGGTCACTTACCTAGACCCAGACATCCTGGAGTGTGAAGTCAAGGGGGCCTTATGAAGCATTATTACAAATAAAGCTAATGGAGGTGATAGAATTCCAGTTGAGCTATTTCAGATCCTTAAAGATGATGCAGTTGAAGTACTGCACTCAAAATGCCAGCAAATTTGGAAAACTCAGCAGTAGCAACAGGACTGGAAAAGATCAGCTTTCATTCCAATCCCAGAGAAGGGAAGTGCCAAAGAATGTTCAAACTGCCATAAAATTGTGCTCATTTCACATGAGCACAGTGTAAGGTTATGCTCAAAATCCTTCAAGCTAGACTTCAGCAGTATGTGAGCTGAGAACTTCCAGATGTACAAGCTGAATTTAGAAAAGGCAGAGGAACCAAAGATCGAATTGCCAACATCCGTTGGCTCATAGAAAAAGCAAGGGGATTCCAGAAAAACATCTGCTTCATCAACTATGCTAAAGTCTTTGACTGTGTGGATCACAACAAACTGTGGAAAATTCTGAAAGAGATAAAAGTATCCGATCACCTTACCTGTCTCCTGAGAAACCTGTCTGCAGATCAAGAAGCAACATGGAACAAAGGACGTGGAACAAAGGACTAGTTCAAAATAGGGAAAGGAGTATGTCAAGGCTGTATATTGTCACCCCGCTTATTTAACTTACATGGAGAGCACATCATGCGAAATGGCAGACTGGATGAATCACAAGCTAGAATCGAGATTGCCGGGAGAAAAATCAATAACCTCAGATATGCAGATGGTACCACTTTAATGGCCAAAAGTGAAGAGGAACTAAAGAGCCTCTTGATAAGAGTGAAAAAAGGAGCGAAAAATCTGGCTTAAAACTTAACATTCAGAAAAGGAAGATCTTAGCATCTCTTCCTGTCAACTCATGGCAAATAGATGGAGAAAAAGTGGAAACAGTGACAGACTTTATTTTCTTCAGCTCCAAAATCACTGTGGATGGTGACTATAACCATGAAATTAAAAGATGCTTTCTCCTTGGAAGGAAAGCTATGTCAAACCTAGAGAGCGTGTTTAAAAGCAGAGACATCACTTTGCCAACAAAGGTCCATCTAGTCAAAGCTACGGTTTCTCCAGTAGTCATGTACAGATGTGAGAGTTGGACCGTAAAGAAAGTTGAGCACTGAAGAATTGATGCTTTTGAACTGTGGTGCTGAGGAAGACTCTTGAGAGTCCCTTGACTGCAAGGAGATCCAACCAGTCCATCCTGAAGGAGATCGACCCTGAATATTCACTGGAAGGACTGATGCTGAAGCTGCAGCTGCAATGCTTTAGCCACCTGATGAGAGGAGGTGACTCACTGAAAAGACCCTGATGCTGGGAAAGACTGAGGGCAGGAGGAGAAGGGAGCAACAGAGGATGAGATGCTGGCGTTCATGGCAACCCACTCCAGTGTTCTTAACTGGAGAATGTCATGGACAGAGAAGCCTGGTGGGCTACAGCCCATGGGGTTGCAAAGAGTCACACAACTGAAGCAGTTGAAAGAGAGATCATCCTGGAAGCTTTCTGAATCCTATTATTTACAGGTTTCCATAGAGATTTTATTACACAGGCAGGATTATTAAATCATTGGCTGTTGGTAATTGAACTAAATCTCCAGCCCATCTCCTCTCCCCAGAGGTCCGGGGTTGGGCTGCAAACCCTCTAATCACGCCTCCGTCTTTCTGGGGACCAGCTCCATCCATAAGCTTGCAGAGCTCCCCCCACCCCCACCAACCAGTCTGCTCAGGTGCTCACAAAAAGACTCCAAAGGTTCTAGGAGCTGTTCCAAGAACCAGGGACAGAGACCAAGTATTCATCTTTTACTATATCAAACCTGTGTTAACAGGAGACATTAAAGTGGCAGCTTCTGATAGTTCCTAGAGCAGCAGTTCTGGGAGTGTGGTCCGCAGGGCAGCAGCTCCTGGACATGTGAGCACATTTTAGAAACTTACATTCTCAGGACCCCCCCCACCCCCGCCAGGCCAGCCGGATCCAAGGCTCTGGAAGTGGCCAGGAGTCTGCATTTAAGCTAACGAGAGGATTCAGGTGTACACTCGAGTCCGAGAACCCCTGAGCACGGGAAGGTGCTGGGTTGGAGGACGTGGTGTGGGCCTGCTGAAGAGGGATGACAGGACTTCCACCACGTGTGTCGGGGACAGCGGTTGAGGACCAAGTTCCACGTACAGACACAGCTGTGGGTGGGCTCTGGGGTTCAGAGGAACAGGGGAGATGTCGGCACAAGAGAGAGGCAGCGGGGCTGGAAAACAAGGCCAGGAGGTCTCCAGTTTAATGAAAGAAGAGTGGGCTTTTAATCTGGGAGCAGTGTGTGTGTGTGTGTGTGTGTGTGTGTGTGTGTGTGTGTGTGTGTGAAGGAAATATAGGTGGATTCAGTTAAACAGTGGACTCAGAGCAAGGCATGGGAGGGGATTCAGGGGCTTACAAGACTGATCCCTTGACTACAGAGACCACAGACGCCTGCAGAAGAGCCTTCAGGAAGCCTGCTCTGAATGCATGTCTGTGGGTTGTGTATCTGTCAGACGGCCGGCTCCGTGAGTCCAAGAGGCCAGCCTGGGGACGTCGGGGCTAAGATGGGATGGGGGGCAGAGTGTTGCATCAAACATAAGTTAGCACCAATAGCAAGGCACACGTTTAAAGATGTTAAAATGTAGGCAGGGGTGGGCTACTTCTCTTGCGGTCCAGTGATTAGGAATCTGCCTTCCAATGTAGGGGACAGGGGTTCAATTCCTGGTCCGGATCTGACATGTCTCGGGGCAACTAAGCCCATACATGGCAACCTCTGAGCCCACACACTCTGGAGGCCACATGCCACAATGAAGACCCTGCATGCAGCCAAAAGTAAAAATAAATATATATTTTTTAATGCAGGGGGAAGATAGAAGCCATTTTAGAACTAATGAAATCCACTAATAAAAAATCACCAGGACAGATCAGAGAAGTGGAATATCATAGCCAAATGTCATTCATGCAAAGCAGGCTAATAATACACAGGAGAAAGGTTTCCGGAGACGTGGTCATTAGCTTTTCTCCTGCTTTTACCAAGGGACGTGTCTGTGAGTCTTCACCGCGCCTCCCTCTCTCTCGCAGGGCAGACGACCACGAGAGCAGGCTGCTACAGAGACTTGCGCGTCCCGGTGAACGCCTCCTTCTGCAGCCCCAACGCCCGGCCGGTCACGGGGGTCATGCCCTGCAAGCTGTCTGCCTGTCCCCCCAGGTAAGAGCTGCCGCGTCTCTCTGAACGGGTGTCAGGTTTGCAGGTATAAAGCCCAGTCCTCGGGGCTCCTGAGTCGGGGGACTAGAAATGTCGACCGCAGCCATGCAATCCGTGACGGCAGAAGCGAGAGGAACAGGAGCTGCCTGAATGGGTGAGCCACAGAAAGTGCGCTCGGCTGGGGGCGGGGCCTGGCCAGGCTGGGCCGCGGCGCACAAGGTCTCGGAGTGGACGGCACTTGTTCTGGCTTTTTCAGCTCAGGCTGCGGGAGGGGCAGTGGGCCGTGGGCAGAGGAGCTCTTTCCCACTCAGCCTCCAGGCCATCCCCCGGTGTTTCCTTTCCTTACCGAGTGAAATGTGTTAGGAGAGCCTGCGGCGAGGCCTGTCCCGGCTGTCCGGGGAGAGTGGACCCTGCACGCGTGTGACAGCGGGCCTCGGTCATCCCGGTCACCTGTCCCCGGGGCCACCGCCCCGACACACTCCTCGAGAACGTCCCGGCCCCCTGACTCGGGCGCGGGCAGGAGCCCAGGGAGCAGCTGAGGTCCTGCCCTGCCTCCCCCAGCCATCACCCGCCCCAGACTCATTTACGGTCTGTCTGCGTCTCCCTGGCTTCATTGTCACCGAGGGGCTGCCAAAAGCATCCGAGTAACGTATTTACAGAGGTGAAGCTCACCAGGCCCTTTAGACAGTCACGTGTGGTCTCACGCATCTCGATGTTAAAGACCCACAGTAGCTGGCTTTGCTGAACTTTGCCCCAAAAGCAGAAAGCGGGGTCTTTGGGGGCTTCCCAGGTGACACAATGGTAAAGAAACCGCCTGCCAGGGCAGGAGACACAAAAGACAGGTTCGAACCCTGGGTCAGGAAGATCCGCTGGAGGAGGAAATGAATACCTCCCTCCTTGCCTGGAGATTCCCATGCACAGAGGAGCCTGGAGGGCGACAGCCCATGGGGTGGCAAAGAGTCGAACAAGACAGCCCAGGGACATATTATTGTATGTATCATATTTATCATATGTAGTACACTTTACTACACTACATTAGCACCCTCACCTGTACTAGTCAGGGCAGTGCAGGCCAAGGGCGTGCTGAGGGAACCCATGCAGAAGCTCTCACTCGGTCCAGGACAAGCGCTAAAACACTCACTAAATCTTGGCTCTTTCCTTTTTTCCCAGAAATAAGAAACAAGTCCGCAGTAGTTATTCACTTAGTCTGTGAAGCAGAACACACAGAGGACCGAACCTATGTTACATGCATCCATCCCTGTGCGCTGTCTATTCCCAACTGAATTGGGAAAACAGATCTTAATTTTAAAGTTGTTCTGTTGTCCTCTGAAACGTAAGATACATTTCTTCCTTGCCCAGAATACTGCCAGTTTTTCCTTCCAGATTAAGTGAGTGGCACACCCAAACTTTACATTTACCCCTGGGAGAGCCTGTGTCTTTCTCACTAGGCTGCCTCCTGCAAGGCGTCCACCCATGGCCCTCCCACCGTCTTTGATTGACGGCGGGGGGCTCGGGCGCGGGGGCGGGTGGGGGTGGGGGGGATAAAACATCTTAATCACAGGTCGTCTTCTTTTTAACTGACGTGAACCAAAAAACAGCCCTGCTGGTGGGAGCCCCTCGCCTCCCCCCACCGCCCCCCATCGGTCTCCATCCACACGTGCGCACGTCCGCGTCTAGGGCCCACAAGGGCCCCGGGTGCGAGCCCAGGTCATAAATCTCCACGGGCAGAGAGCCGGGAGTCCGGGAGCCTCCCAGCCTGGAGGAAGATGATCTCAAACGTCTGCGAGGCGGGGGCCAGCGGGAGCACGCGGGCCCGTGATGGAGCATCAGCACTTCGCGCCGCTCCGCTGGGACTGAGCGAGGCGCCCCCGACCCCCGCCGCCCCCCACCCCCGCCCCCCACCCCCGCCCCCCCCCCACCGCCCCCCCCCACCGCCGCCGCCGCCGCCGCCGCTGCCGCCTCCGCGCGCCTGGAAGGAGGCTCTGCCGGCCCGCGCAGACGGCTGTGCGCGACGCTCCCCCCGGCTCATTTGAGCGAGGATCAGGCATTTTTATGGCTTGCTTTTGATACATGAACCATAAATCACACGGATATTTATTTCCTTTCGATTTCTCAGTTTATCTAAATGGAGCGGCTCTTCCTGTTGTTCCTCTTACCGCTCTCGTTTTCCAAGCACAGGCGCTCACTGCACGCCTTCCTGGTCAACCGGCTGAAGGTAGACCGAGAGGAAATACTTTCCAGATGGTAAACAGATGCTTCGCCTCTCTCCGCAGTTTTCTTCTAGGGATGCAGAGGCAGGGTGTAGATAAAGCGTCTTGTCATTGGATACCTCCTCCCCGTACAAACGGACCCCTTCTCTGTTTTCCTCCCACTTGGTCTTTGGATGGTCCTATTGTTTCTGTCTACACTTTGCTGACTCCTACACACCCATCAGCAGAACTGTTTCTTTTACAACCGAGATCCAGAGGAGGGTGACTGCGTCCATTTGGTAGAAATGCGGGAGGAGATGCAGCAGGGGAACGTCATGTCCTAGTGATCATGAAGAACTAATGATCTTCTTACAGCAACGCTGCCAGGGACAGGAGAGGGGGCAGTAACACTTCTCCTGCAATAAAGAAGGCTGAGCACCAGAAGAATTGATGCTTTCCAATTGTGGTGCTGGAGGAAACTCTTGAGAGTCCTTGAACAGCAAGGAGATCAAACCAGTCCATCCTAAAGGAAAGCAACCCTGAATATTCACTGGAAGGACTGATGTTGAAGCTGAAGCTCCAATATTTTGGTCACCTGACGTGAAGAGCCAACACTTTGGAAAAGTCCCTGATGCTGAGGAAGACTGAGGGCAGGAGAAGGGGGCGACAGAAGATGAGATGGGTGTATGGCATCACTGACTCCATGGGCCTGAGTTTGAACACACTCTGGGAGATGGTGAAGGCGCCTGGCATGCTGCAGTCCATGGAGTCACGAAGAATCAGACACAGCTGAGCAACTGAGCAACAGCAACTTAGGTTTAAGCCTTGAAAATATTAGCGCCCAGTAGTATACAGGTTACCCAGGGAATGAAAAGGACCCTGGTCCCTGAGGTGGTCCATACATGTGAAAGGGCTTAACTCCCAGGATGTTAAGAAAGCATTTCAGTTCATTTAATTATGAGAGTGACTAGAATAAGCTAGCTGCAGGACCGGCTTCCTGGGCGTGTTCCCTGCCCCATGGCTCAGGGCCCTGTGCTGAAAACGTTCCCCGCTTGGTTTAATTCTCCGACGCCGCCAGCTTGAAATCCCTTGTGGTTTCGTACCTTGCGCCAGATTCCACAAATGGCAGAACCAGCCCTCACACCTAGCAGCCCAACTTCTGTTTCGACAGCATTTTCTGGAATCTTTGGGAATCGTACTGGAGTGTTCCTTCTTTTAGTAAATCAATTACACATCACCCTTGAGTTTGGAGCACAGCTTCATTTATTTTCTTTTTTTCTGTTTAATGTTATTTATTTTTTGTTTGTTTTTTATATACATTTATTCATTTTTAATTGGGCGATAATTGTTTTACGATATTGTGTTGGTTCCTGCCATACAGGCAGAGGTATGGCCCCTCCCTCTTGAACCTCCCTCCCACCTCCCACTTCATCCGTCCCCTCTAGGTGGTCACGGAGCGCAGGGTTTGAGGTCCCTGCATCATAGAGCAAATTCCCATGGCTATCCATTCTGCGTTTGGTGATGTCTGCGTTTCCATGGTTCTCTCTCAAGTCGTCCCACCCTGTCCTTCCCTCACTGTGTCCACAAGTCTGTTCTTTCTATCTGTCTCTTTTCAAATCATGGACTCTTCTGGTGACATGACAGTGGTGGACGTGAAGGATATAGGATACTTGGTACAGTTATCTCCTATTTTCTTTCCACTTGCGGGATGAGCACCTGCTTTGCCAAACTTCAGAGCACTTGCGGATACGTGAAGTCACAGCCAGGGGAGCTTTACAGAGCCCATGTCCTCTAGGTGCCGCAGTTCCCTCTGCGGTTCTTCTGGGACTGAGCCGGCTCTGTCAGGGAACCTGGCGCTGCACACAGTTCATACCCGCAGACACCGCCTCCCTGAAGGGCCCTTCCTCTTCTTTAGAGACCTTGTCCTCCCCGCCGCCGCACCCCCCACTGAAAAGGCATCTAGCTGTCTCCTTCTAACCAGAGAAACCAAAAATGTTAGGCCATCTCTGTACTTGACCGTCTTTGGAGAACCATTCGGTGTAAAGTGTGAAGGCTGAGCGTCGTGACTTGACTAGGTGACTGTGTCATCTCCTAGATGTGACAGTATCTGTGTAAAAGGGGGTGTCTTGCTGTATCTCCCCCAATAAAGATGTTACTGAACCAAAACAATGAAGTTAGAATACATTCAGGCTCATAAAGGTGTTTGTTACAACACATCCATAATGAAAACCATCATAGTGAAGTTTATTACGATCAACCCGTAATGAAAACCAAGTTACAAATATGGACAGACTGGTCCTCATCAAGCCTGACTTGACCTGTCTCCTCGGTCACTGAAATATTAACATGGAAAAATCATTGCAGAAGTGGGCATGTAGAAGTGAGCTAACTCTTTAGATCTGGATTCATCATTTCACCCCACAAATCTGCCTTATGTAGTTCCGTAATTTTTTTGGCCTGCTCATTTGTCTTGCTCTACTTATTTTGTTTTGGTGCATGTTTGTGTGTCAGTATATGTATGTGTATTTTGCTGTTTTGTATATTTATCCATGTGAACAAAGGCACTTTTATTATTCTGGTCTGAAGACCTCAATATGATGAACTAAAATTACCAAGTGTCCTAATAATACAGATGATAGCATATGCTTCAAATATGTTGGAATAAAAAGAAAAATGAAACCTGCGAATAGACAAATAGAATACACAGATGATAGATGGAAAGATAGATAGATAGGTGGCACTTAGAAAGATAGGCAGGTTGTTGTTCAGTAAGTAAGTCATGTCCGACTCTGTGACCCCATGGACTGAAGTACG